GAGAGAGTCACCATCTATATTTATCGACTTAACTGGGTTCCAAGTTGCAAATGATGGATTTGTAAACTTGTGTATATCATAAATATAGGTTGTGGGATGCACAAAAGTTCTACTAACATTAGTAGAATTTTTGTGTAATTTGGAGAAAATTAGTAAGTGTGCTATTGAGTTTCTGTAGAGCTTGGGGAATAAGGATTTGCATTTGGATAGGTAGAGGATGTGAATGGCAATGGTAATGAGGAATGGGAATCAATATTTTTGGAAGAATCTTATTTCTGGGCAGCATTTATAGGATAGATCCCTCCTTAGCTTCCAGTCACATAGACATTTCTCTAGAGAAAGACTGTGTAATACATACAAATTCTAAATTTTTTCTTGATTTGCCACTCACTTCCTTGAAAGCTTTCCAAGTTCTCATTCTTTTTCAAGGATTCATTTCAGTTCAGTGAGAACATATCAAGTGCGCACTCAGATGGACAAACCTTGTCACAGATGATCAAGAGTGGCCATTGAGAAGATAAGGGTGAAACCAGAGTACAGAGGTGAAGTGACAAAATCCCAAGTAGCGTGTGAAAATTGATAGAGAGGTACAAAATGCTGTGAGCATTCAGAAGAGAAAAAGGCATTTGAGTTGGATCTTGAGGGATGTGTGGGACTTCCAGTAAAGCTGCTATTCCATTGAAGGGCATTCAGGGTATAGGAATCTGTTGAAGAATGGCAGCTGTCCACTTTGGCTGAAGCATGTCCGGATTTAAAGCTTGTATTCAAAGGGCCAAGGGATCATATCAAGTGGGATAACATATATTTGCAAACCTTAAAGTACAGCATAAATACTAGCTGTTATTATATGGAGAAAGGATGTTCTTTCCTTAATTAGAAGGGCAGAAGCACTTCCCAGTCTTTTATTTCACTGACTGAGAAATAGCTGTGGGACTCAGTTTCACTATAAAAGTCAATCAGGATAGTCTCTCAGATTCTCTCCAGCTAAATGAGGTTCTCTGTCATCATTCTCTCTGTCCCCTAAGAAATCGACGTGTAGCAATTTTGAATTATCCTAGCCTGCCAAAGATCTATGGTGTGAACTTGCACAGCATTTAGCTGTTGGTGCTTTTCCCTCAAAATGGACTGCTTTAAAGAATAATATAGAGATCATAAAAGTCTCTGCACCAATTGGCAATGTAGTCCCGGTCCCTTGTTGTTAATAGTAATAAGCATGGAAGGAAGGAAACAGGTATTTATTAAGCACTCAGAATATGCCAGATACTGTCCTAAGCACTGGGCATACAAATGCAAGTAAAAAGAAACACAGGCCCTACTCTTATGGAGCAAGACAATATACAAAAGGGGACTGGTCCCTTCACAAAATGGAGGCTCCAAGAGGAACTCACCCATGGGAGAAGGAGGGTGGGCTTTGCAGATGGATATTCCATGGTGAGCAGGCCACAGGGATGGTAAGGTGCTCTAGGGTGTGAAGGTCCTTGGCACTGAGAAAGTACCAGGATGTGACAGGCATGATTTTGAAGTCCAGAAGGTCAGGAAGAGGGGCAAGTGAAGGCTCATATGTGAAAATTATGTGTGTTTATATACATATGTGTGAATACACACATATACAAATGTATTTGTGTGTGTGTGTGTGTGTGTGTGTGTGTGTGTGTGTGTACAACTAGCTGGCACACTGGGCCTGAAGTCAGGAAGACTCATCTTCCTGAGTTCAAACCTGGCCTTACACTTTTACTAGCTATATGACTCTGGGCAAGCCACTTAACCTTGTTTGCCTCAGTTTCCTCATCTGTAAAATGAGCTGGAGAAGGAAATGGCAAACCACTCCAGTATCTCTGCAAAGAAAACCCCCAGTGGGGTCACAAAGAGTCAGACACAGCTGAAAAATGTCTGAACAGCAATATAGTACACACATACACATACATCTATCTCAAACATAAATCTAAAAATCGCACTGTTAATGGAAGTCCAATCCACCTTTGCTAATAGTGTAGAAACATTCTACCCACTCCCTGAAGGGGATTTCCATTTGGTCATGTGGGTCACTGCAGTGGCTTGGCTGTGGGAGAAACTAATGGGAAGTAGACAGGAACTTTGTTGTTATTAACTGCCAGGCTTGTTTGCAGTATGTGACTCCTATATTTAAGGAGAGGATTACTCATGAGTATTTTCTTCCACAGAATGTACAGAACCTCAGATCGCCACTTGCCTCCCCGCTCCCAGCACACTCCTTCCTACATTTCAGCATGCCCTCCCCAGCACTTCATAATTTTACTCTCATTTCCTCTCCTGATCTGGATTCGCTTCTGTATCTGCTTCCTCATTGTCACTTTCCAGTGAGTTTGGACCATCTTCTTTCCAGTTTCTAATCTTGTACTTTCCACTTTATTGGTCACTTGCTACCAGGAGCTTCTCTGTCTCCACCTTAATTTGAACTTCATATTTCTACAAGAGACATAAATGTAATTGTGTTCTTCTAGGGAAAGGAAAAGAATTTAAAAAAAAAATCAGTGATAACTCAAGTCCACTGCTGGCCCCCATTAGCAAAGATCCCCTCTTAGCTTTACAGCAATATTGAATTGTTTTTCTGAGCCAGCCACAGTCCCTTTTGACTAGTGATAGGGGCTTTTTGGAATAACTAGCCAGAGGTGAGAGTTCGGTTCATGACTATATAGACCACATTTCTCTGTGTAAAGGTAATGCATCCTTGTGGGGTCATTTGCATGACCTTGATTCCTTTGGCAACAGATTCTAAAGAGCTCAGCTAACTATAATGGTATACTACAATCAGTCTTGATAGCACCTACCACTTTCCCAAATGAGAGAAGCTATTTTATTGAAAATTATTGTAAATGGTACAGCTAAGGGTAGGGAAGGGAGAGGAGAACATATCTGTGCTCGCGGGCGTATGCATGTGTGTGTGTGTGTGTGTGTGTGTGTGCGCACCCATGTGTGTGTGTATGCACACACATGCGTTTGTGTATCTACTTAAATCACAGCTGCTCTCGTCATTATTCTTTATCAAAATAACTGTTGTGATATAGATAGAGATAAGTATATGTCTCTCCCTATGTATCTATATGTATATATCTATAAAACCAGTCTTCACCCCTACTGTGCCAAGGAAATTAAGGAAGGTTTGAAGACACTTTCATAGGGTGGGAAGAAGCCAGGTAGTCTTCCTCAAAGCTACAGAACTTTGGAACAGAGTAGTGTGGAAGTGACAGACCCGTTTGCAAGAGACCTGCTTTTGCCCTCACACTCAGGTGTTTTTCTCTCACCCTGAAGTCTTACCCCAAATCCATTTTTGTATCAGGAAAGGACAAGTTATTTCCACCAAAAAATTCCAACATCTGCTAGAATTGGGCAGCTGACCCTAACTCTGCCTTTCATTCTCAGAGAGGCTTGCCTGATTTGGGTCAGGGGCCCACTTTGGTCTGCAGTAATGTGAGGAAGTCTGGTCTAGCTATAGATCTTTCACACTCGATAAAGCAGGGTTCTTGGTATATTTTTTTTTAATGAATAAGTTTTTTGTTGTTTTTTTTGTTTGTTTGTTTTATTTTTGTTTGGTTTTTTTTTTTGGTGAGGCAATTGGGGTTAAGTGACCTGCCCAGGGTCACACAGGTAGTGAGTGTTATGTGTCTGAGGCTGGATTTGAACTCAGGTCCTCCTGGTTCCAGGGCCAGTGCTCTATCCACTGTATCACCTAGCTGCCCCTCTAAAACAGGATTCTTAAGCTTTCTGGAGTGCTGTGGGCTCCTTTGGTCATTTGGTGAAGCCTAAAGACCCCTTCTCAGAATCATATTTTTAAACGCGTAAGATGAAATAGGTAGGATTACAGAGAAAAGTAGTTACAGTGAAATAAAGTTCTGAAAAATTAAAAAAAAAAAAGCCCAGACCTCAAGTTCACAGATCCCAGGTGGAGAATCTCTGGTCTAAAGAATCCTGGGATATCACCTGATCATCTCTGAGACATTCTTCAGCTTAGTACCAGTTTCAATCTGTGTTCCTCAGACCACAACAAAGCTTACCTGAGAACAAACCTGAACCACAGGAATAGAACTGAAACTAAACCAGTTTCCTGGACAGGGAAGTGTATGAAGACAAATGACTCTTCGTTTCACTAGTTCCTGTGCTCCCAGACTTGGCATTGGTACCCTAGAGGTAGAAAGGAAAATGTTTCCCATTGTGTGACTCCTTGACATAAACATGGCATAACTATTAAAGCAGCTAGACTTTTTCCAGCCAGAGTTAGAGACTGACAGAGAGAAGGAGAGAGGGGAGGGATAAAGCTAGATTTTTCCTTTCCAGCAGCTCTCCAAGACAAAAAATATCTACCTAGAAATGTTTTTCCTTTTTGAGAATCTGACTGTAAGGTATGGTGTAATATTTGGAGTAAAAGTGAAACCCGGATTCAAATTCCACCTCTGGACATATACTAGGTAATAAATCAACAAACATATATTAATTTAGGCACTAGAGATAAAAAGTGAAAAAAAAATCAAACAGTTTCTGTCCTTGAGCAACTTACATTCTATCAGAGGAGACAACATGAGAATATAGAGTTGTACATAGACAGACTATATAAAATGAATACAGAGTCATTTTTTGGGAGGGAGGGAAGGAGACAAATCACTTACTCTTTTTGAGATTCAATTTCCTCATCTTTAAAATGAGGAAAATGATGCCTATTGTCCCTTCATCACAACTTTGTCTTGATAAGCAGAACAAACGAGGCAGTGTGCATAAGGCCCTTTCAAAATGTTAAACATAGGGGGCAGCAAGATGGTGCAGTGGAGAGAGCACCAGCCCTGGATTCAGGAGGACCTGAGTTCAAATCTGGCCTCAGACACATAACATTTACTAACTGGGCAAGTCACTTAACTCCATTGCCTAGTCCCCCACCCCCCCAAATGTAAAAACGTAGTATAAACATCAGTTATTATAAGTTCAATTAATTAAATGAAAGGATCTCATATATGCCTCTTTCTCTCCAATAGGCTTGCAGCCAGTTTACTGGAGCAGGGATGACGTAGCCCAGTGGCTCAAATGGGCTGAAAATGAATTTTCTTTAAGGCCAATCGACAGCAACACATTTGAAATGAATGGAAAAGCTCTCCTGCTGCTGACCAAAGAGGACTTTCGATATAGGTCTCCTCATTCAGGTGAGAGGTTCATGACTCTTGACAGGGTCCCAGTTCAAAGGGGATGATGAATCTTGGATTGGTCTTTGCTGCCACACCCATCCGTAACAGTGTCCCATAGTAAGTAATGTCATCATTAAACATGAAAAACAATGGTATTTTGCAAAAGGAAGAACCTGGTTCCCTAAAGCAGGAGCAGAGAAAAGGGTAGAGAGCTTGTCATCTAGGAAAGATACAAGGTTCAAATCTAAGAATCTAAAGAGTTTTATACATTCCTACTCAGAATAGAGAAAATTAGATAAAAGGCAACCACAGAGGACTTAGATTACAGGAAACACTTCAGTGGCTATGCATTGGGTGCAAATGGCCATGCAAAGGGTCTAGCCAACAAGGTTGAACTTTTAAATATTCTTCTTACTTTCTTTTCTTACAACTCAGCATATTTTCTAAAATTCCAGTCCCTGGAACCTTACTCTTTATAACATCATATGTAAATCGGACCTGCTATCCAACATGGTCAGCTATTGAATAACCAAAAAGGTGATGTCCTAAGAAGGTTTCATGTACTGAGGGCATGGATCATTAAGACAGGCATTCTAGGGTAATGCTAGCTTATATTGTGTAGTGAAAGCATGTTATTTTCTTAGCTAGTTTTTTTAGATTATCCAAGATGAAACTTATTTGGAATCCAGATGTAATATTCTGTCTTGCTTAAGTATTTATGCCCTTAGACAAAAATCAAAGCCGACTGAAGTTATATTTTCTCTCTCTCTCTCACTCTCTCTCTCTCTCTCTCTCTCTCTCTCTCTCTCTCTCTCTCTCTCTCTCTCTCTTTTTTAAGGCAATTGGGGTTAAGTGACTTGCCCAGGGTCACACAGCTAGTGAGTGTCAAGTGTTTGGTCTGAGGCTGGATTTGAACTCAGGTCCTCCTGACTGCAGGGCCAGTGCTCTATCCATTGTACCACCTAGCTGCCCCTAGACTGAAGTTATATTAAAATCTAATTTACTACTGGCTGCCTTTCAGAAATGTTAGCAAACTAAACATCATCTAAACCAAACCTCTTGCCCCGAGAGCAAGATAAGAGTGGGAAGCAGGATGTCCCCGGCTTTTCCTGGTTGGCCCAGCGAGTTGGGTGAAGGGGAGTTTTCCCAAGATGTACAGATGTTGGCATCTTACCTGGAAAGTTCACAACACAGCATGCAGACTTGCCATGCTAAACAAACACTGTGACTCAAAATATTCAAGCCTTCCTGAATCTCAGAAGTGTAAGAATTATTTTATATAAATGAAGCTAAAAAGAATTCCATATGGAAGCAGTTCCCTTAGCAATCAATCAGTGAGCATTTACTAATCCCCTACAGTGCATCAGGCAGCACTGGAGATACAGAGAACGTGAAACAGTCCCTGCCCTTAGGAGGCTTACATTCTGTTAGGGGAAACAAGATATGTATATATCTGGATGTAATCTGTTACTTATAAAATATAGGCATACATGTAATAGGTATAGAATGTGCATATATAGAGTAAAGATAGACAGAGAGATAGATAGATAGATAGATAGATAGATAGATAGATATAGACATAGACATAGAATATAGAGGAGACAACATGCGTGGATATTAAGCTCAGCCTGGCTTTGGAGGCTATCTCTTATTTTTAAGTGAGGAAACATAGGGCCAGAGAGGTTAGGTGACTTGCCTAATGTCACAAAGATAATTCTTTGTAAGATACTTTCCTCGCATAGAAATGAAAATAATTCTACCTCGTATTTAAGAAATACTTGGAGTAATAGCTACAGAGCTGTTTGGAAAGGGAGTCAATCAAAAGTGTATTTTCAGTGTTCTAGTAAAATTTAAATAAAATAACTGATATCAAATGAAACATCTTTGAAAAGGATTTCTGCTGAATTTGACTTAAAACCTAGTGATGCTTTCCTCCTTCTATGATTGGAGGTACTAAAGGTGAAGCAGAATGGGAATCTGATTTTGCCTGGAAATTCCCCTTCCTTCTCTTACTTCCTCCTGAGACTAATCTATACATTCTTCTCTCTCTGCCCTTATCCATGCCACTTCCTTCTGTTAATGCATCCAACCTTGAAGCAAAGATGAGCAAAAAACTGAAGCCAACTTGACACTGTTCCCCCAAACCTGAATGTCCCCACTGAATAGTAACATGTTTCTGGAGCATGTGTTAGGTGCCTAGCACTTTCCTAAATATCCTGGCAGATAACAGTCCAAGATTAGCAGGTGCTGTTGACAAGGGACATAAATAGCCTACTTGGACAGATAAAACTAACACACCTGAAAAAATTTGAGAACAAGTGTTAAATTCTCTGATATTGTTTGCTTATGTTTCATTATGGGCAGAACCAGTCAGAGAAGGCTTCGTGGAGGAGATAGGACCTGTTCCAAATCTCAAAAGATGACAAAGGGGGCAGCTAGTTGGCACAGTGGATAGAGCACAGGTCCTGGAGTCAGGAGAATCTGAGTTCAAATCCAGCCTCAGACACTTGACACTTACTAGCTGTGTGACCCTGGGCAAGTCACTTAACCCCATTGCCTAGCAAAAACAAAAACAAATGAAATGAAAACCAAAAAAAATCAAAAGATGACAAAGATTTGGTTAGATGTCAGGGAGAAGGAAGGGTACTTCAGATGAAGGAAATAATATGAGCAAAGGCAAGGGAGGCATTGGCATTGAATATGGGAAGGAATTTGAGGAGATGGGCCTAGTTAAGGTGGGAGGTACATTGAAAGGCAAAAGGAGAAATCTGTGCATAAGACAGTAGACAACGATTGCAGATTTTGAAACAAGGGAGGGATTTTTTGGGTAAGCACGGGAAGACATGAGTATATCAGGGCCAGCTAAAATGTGACCATGCAATGTGTTCCATAATGCCTGGTTTGTACTTGTGATACCCTTTTTTTGTAATGTATGGAAGAATATCTTATTTAGGATTTTCATAACCGCAAATGCTGCTCTTCCTTTGGGATTAAATTGGCAGTGCTGCCTAGAAAATGCTTCTTGGAAAAGCCATAAGCTCCTTATGCAAAGGCTCTATTGTCTTTTTCCCTAAGAACATTCCTCAAGGCCATTTCCCTTGGCTGTGGTCTGGTTAGTTAAAAATGAAGAAAAATCTGTTAGGATAATGATGGTTTATTTTCCTGCTTTCCTGTGTGACTTTTTCTTCCCACTGTTTCGCCTTGTACCCTTAAACTATTGAGTTTCCAAAAATGACAGTTTCAAAGATAATGCTCATCTCAACTCAAATAGAGTTACAGAAAGTAGTGAAGAGTCCTATTAGGTAACATTTCCCCATCCTGAGTAGAGATAAGAAAGAGGAGAATTCTGATCCTATAGTTTCCATCCTATCTGGCCAATAACTACCTGGAATCCTTTAGAACTGGAAACCTGAAGTATCACTGACATGCATCAGAGATGAAACTTTTTCTGTGTAAAAAGGGAAAGCTAATGAGTCACCCATGGTATTGCAATGCCCATGAACCATCTGGTAACAGCCAACATCCTCTTCATTCCCCCAACCTGAACTGAGGCTGCAGGCCTCTCTGCTGCTGGGAAAGCTGTTGGAGACCCAACTCAAGACAAGGAAACACAGTACCTCCATCTTCAGCCTTCCTGAGACCTCTACTGGTCATGTTGAATATGCTTCAAAAAACATTATTAGGATGCGTAGGCTGTTTCCTCCTTAGTGCAGGGGCTAATTTAATACCCCTCCCCCCAAATCATTCATTTAGAGAATAATTAATATTTAATGTCGGAAATAAAATGAAGAGGAGAATCTTATAATTCCCCTTTGCAAGCCATTCCCGTGGACCCTGAAAATAATACTAGTTCAATGGCCAGGAGTCACACGGGGAAAGAGGCATGGATGGGTAACGATCTGAACCATTGAAGCAAGTATCTACATCAGTGAGAGCTTGGATTTATTGATATATGGATGGAGTAATCTGGAATATAGGAATGAAGTAATGGCAATGAAAACTGATTCAATAGTCATTCGATAAGTATTTGTTGAGTGTCACGTCACATCGGGCCAGTCAGTAAAATTGGCTTTCTTTTATCTATGCAGAGATAATAATTTCTGTGTTTTGAAATTCCATAATTTAATATTTTATAATTTATGTGACACTTTAAGGTTTGTAAACCACTTCTCATCCTCACAACCCCACTGGGAGATAGGGGCTATTATTATCCCCATTTTATAGGTAAGGAAACTGAGGCAGACAGAGTTAAGTGATTTGCTCAGGGTTATACAGCTAGTAAGCATCTGAGGCCAGATGTGAAGTCACATCTTCCTGATTCCAGGCCCAGCACTCTATTTACTACATGCCTTAAGTTCCCTAAGGTAGCCCTATATGGTGTAGAAGAAAGAAGATATCTGGGCGCAGCAAGTTATACTTTTATCATGTTAACGTGTCACAAACACAAGTAACTTAGAGACTGAAACTGCACGTTCATTGACCAAATTGATAAATGACTGCATCGTCAACAGGGATTCTAGCACTAGCATCCCAAAGAAGAATCTCTCCTCCGAAAGATAAATGCCATCCGTTTTCCTTCTTTCTTTTAAGTTGAAATGTTTTGCTTTGATACAATACGCACTTCCCAGCTAATACTCAAGCAGTTTCTCTAGTCAACTCCTCCCTCCCCCACACATACAAAGTATGTTCCCCAAAGAGTTCAAGGTAAAACTGCCGTATGGAATCGTAGAGTCTGACGAGCTGGAAGGGACCTTCTGTTTCTTAGGCCAGCACACCACAGATTTGATCTAACTAGGACTAGTGAGTGAGGTAGGGTGTAACTGACAAAGCGCGTCACTGCTCACTTTTATAGTTCAGCAGTTATTAGCGGCTAAGAACGATCTGTACTTTAACTTGAACAGTACGGTACCGACTCATACTTTCTAGTTTACTTGAGTTGTTACATTTTAATGTTGTCCTTACATATGGACTAACAGCCATTGTGTATGTTACTTTGGCTCTGCTTTATTCACTTTTTC